ACTATGTACTTTCAAATTCTGATAAAAGTTTTACTTATCTTCATATTTAGCTGGACGCTGTGTACTAACAATTAGTACATCTGTTGGTTGTACACCACGATTCTCCTTTTATACTAGTCATTGCTATCAGTTGCAGCATTTGGTAATTATTTGTGTTTCCCTCTATTTCAGGTTGATACTGCAGGACACTTAACATATTCACTTGTAAGGGGATTAGTACTCCACACAGAGCGCCTCGGGTAGATTTTTGCAGGATGGTGAGAGTGGAGTAGAATTTGTTCATTTTTTATTCAATTGGCCCAATATATGCTTCACAAGAAAGGTATTTTCTCAGGTCTATATAAGCAATTAAATGGCACCTTTTTACTTTATTCTTACTTTTGCTTCCTTTTCCAGCTTCCCTTTGTTCTTTTCTTCCCTAAACCCGTTTCTGTTACTGAACAGAATATAAGGTTGGTGTTTCTTAGGTGATAACTTGAGTCCCGGAGAAGAAACTGAATGCGGAGAGCTTTTCATTGTTGATATGATTGTATAGTGTCACTCCTCAGAAGGTTGGAAAATGGCTTTTGTTTCGGAGGACGAGAAAACTGAGGATTACCTTTTCAAGATTGTTCTGGTTGGTGATTCGGCTGTTGGGAAATCAAATTTACTTGCACGATTTGCTAGGAATGAGTTCTACCCTAATTCAAAGTCAACCATAGGAGTATAGTTTCAGACACAGAAGTTGGATATAAATGGGAAGGAAGTTAAGGCGCAGATCTGGGATACGGCTGGTCAGGAGCGCTTCAGGGCCGTTACACCTGCATATTACCGAGGTGCAGTTGGAGCTCTCCTTGAGTATGACATCAGCAGACGACAGACTTTCGATAGCATTGGCAGATGACTAAATGAACTTCAAAGTAAGAACCATGACGAGATTGTGCTTGTGTTGATTACACTTTGATGCATGTGGAAACCCTCTCATAACGAATCTCATTTCTATGATCTATTGAAAGTTCAGCGGTTCAAAATAGATTAATTTATCTTACTTTGCAAGCAACCGTTAGCCATATTGTGGCAAATTTTTGCCAATGTTATGGATTTCTTGTTGGCTCATGATGACTTAGGATTGACCTCTGTGCTTTGTCATTTTGAACAGCTCACTCCGACATGAACGTACTCACCATTTTAGTAGGCAACAAGTCAGATCTCAAGGATTCCAGGGAAGTACCCACCTCAGAAGGAAAGGCCTTAGCACAGGCGCAGGGTTTATTTTTCATGGAGACTTTGGCACTCGATTCCTCCAATGTAGCAGCTGCATTTCAGACCATTGTTAAAGAGATCTACAACATATTGAGCCGGAAAGTTATGATGTCTCACGAAAGCAAGAAGCAAGATGCAGCATTGGATGGGAAGGCTATTGTTTTACAGGCGGAAGAGAACCAACAGCCCGAAACAGAGGCCAAACCTGCAGGGTGCTGTTCATCCTGACGCTTTATGAAATATGAATCAATCTCCATAATTTCCACTGAAGTTACTGATATTTCTTCTCCTCCATACCTTCCTTTATCGACGCCGTTAAAATGTTTGTTTAATAACATTTGTTTCGCTCATTCACACTTTGCTTTTATCATATGGTGGCCGAGGAAGAGACTTGTAAGGAAATATAGAATTAGCAAAGTGTAAATGAACTCAAAGGGGGATTAGAAGATGAAAAACAGAAAGATCAAATTCAAATGCTATGATTTTTAGAAATGTTAACATATTTCGTTGTACCCCCATTTCCTGCAGGACTTTCATTTTCTGCTGTTATGTAATACAATGACACAGTGATTTACATAATAAACCATATTTTTGCAGAACATCTTGCTTAGTGCATATCCTTTATTTTTCATGCAATGCGAACCCATGTTCTAAAAACTCGCCTCGTCGGACGCCTCAAGAAATATCGTAAACTATTATTAGTAAGAACCTGCCATATTTCACGAGGTCAAAATGCTCATTAAAATGATGCCCCGGCAAGCGAATAGGGCGTATACCCTACCATACCTAAATGATTAATTCTGCATGTTCAATGTGTTAAATTTTGTGTTAGTTGCACTACCTGCTGCAGAAGCCTGCTGATAGCTTTACCCTTGTTGCTGACGTGAAACTTTGCCTTTGCCAACAACCCCTACGACTTGAAGGTAAAGTTTCGGGATTAAAAAAACGATCGTATGACGTTAGAAAGAGAGAGTAATTGATTACCTCACCTCAGTGTCGAACTCCACGGACTCAACAGTGATGTTGATGTTGGTAATGATTTTTAAAAGATCCACCAGCAACCCTGCGCGATCAGCGGTCTCCAAGTACAGCAAGCCGAACCAGATTCATTTGCAAAACTAAATTATACTGAAATGAACCAATGATTGGGACCACTATCATCAACTCTTATGTGGGTTGCAATGTCCACATCAACCTTGTGTCATATTATTCTCAGCTTAAACATTTATGGATAATTCGTAACGTTTAGGATCACCAGTCTCTATTTCAAGCATGAAACAAACCATCGGAATATACCTTTACATGGCTGCTGTAAACCTGGTTTCACCAAACATTCAACATAAAAAAAAATGCCTTAACATACTGGGATGAGCTGAGGAATATACCTTCTCTTTTGGTGGCTCAACACGAAAGTCGCATCCATTGCTAGCTGGGAACTTGATTTCTCATTAGGAATTACAAAAAAGGAGATGATGATTACAGGATTATACTCAAGTTGTTTATAATCGTCATACGTATTGCCTCGAGCAGTTCCGGGTCTTAACTTTCCTTCCAGTATCACTGCAGAAAAGAACCAACACTATAGCAGACATGCATTTGCACACCATTTCCATGCTCACATTCGAGTTAAAAGGCGTACAACTTAGCCTCAGTGATGGCGAACTTGTTATGCTTCCCGGTTAAATCCAGATAGACATTTGCATTAGCAACATTCAACCCAAGATTCTTGAGGGCATTCATCTGCAACTCATTCACTAATAGTTGGATCATACACAATAAATTCTCAGGGATAACCCCAAAATTTCCATATGAAAAGCACAGTGAGTAAAGGAATTTATACAGTATCCATAAGAGCTCCAAGCCGATCACCAAAGGTTATTTCAAACATACAACAACCATAAGAAATGGAACTTTAGCCAGTTAATACATAGTTAAAATTCAACCAAATATATCATTTGTTCATCCACAGCTGTGGCTGATGGTGTTGCTCTTGGAATGATTCTCATCATTGAAGATGACAATCTAACACTGACACACTGTTGAAGATACAATAGAAACATTGGATAATGTTTTAACAAGTGCCAATCCAGTGGAAAAGTAACAGTGGTAACTTGATGTAATATGTACAGTAAAAACTGCAGCTTTTTCTCCATAAAACTGATTGAATCAATGGAGGATTGAAGAAAGGTACCTTTTTTTTCTCTCTCGAGAATGATGGGTGGTGGTGAGCCGACAAAGGCAGCGGGCCAAGAATGGTTTTTGGGTTCAAAGATGGGAAATTTATATTTGTTATTAGCGTTGGCTGTAAAGTATACACCATGATTTGCAGCAGAAGCCATAGCCAATTAGCCACAGGCGTTGTAACAGGAGAGATAAGGAGACGAGAAAGAAGCAACAAAACCAAAGAAAAATATAAATTTTAAGGGAGAAGAAGGTTAACTGTTCAAGAAATGGGAGTGGGCTCTCATTTTATCCGCGCCATGAGAAAGTGAGAGACAAGAACTCCCATATTTGGGAATTTTGCTCTGTTCACTGCGTATTTAGATTCATTTTAACCATCAATCATTAAAAAATTAATATAATTATTAACTTAATATATATATATATATATATATATATATATATATTGAAAGTATATTTTTCCAATGATAATACTGTATTACTTTGTGATAACACGATAATATCACTCTTAATATTTTAAAGATAAATAATTAAAATCAAATCAAATTTAAATATTAAAAATAATTTATAAAAAATAATAGTTAAACGTCCAAAACATAATAAATTTTCTTTTAGAAATTTCATTGACATGTGAATTATTCCTATAAAGAAATCATTAGTGTAGTAAAAATGTGGATAAACTATAAGTTTGTTCACCTTTATTTTAATTTTGTGTAGTTTTGATCCTTAATTTAAAATATATATATTTCAATCATTTATATTATCGATTTATATATTTTGATTATTGAATCGTTAATTCTCTTTAATTTTTGACAAGTTAAAAGATAGTTAATTTTTAATTGGTCATATTTTTTTTAGGAGCATTTTGATTTTTGACCACAAAAATATCATTTTACGGTAAAAAAAAGTCTATAATGTTTAACTAAATAGTTATTTTAACTCTTATTCTTCTTTTTTAGAGTATTTTGATCCTTAATGTTTCACTCTAGGACAAAGAGACCCCTATTTTGGAGTGTTAATCTTTTGCTAACTAACAATTTTCGTTAATGACTAAGAAAGATTTTGAGTAGATAATTGAGACATTGTAACACGCATGCATGTAAATTCAATGGAAATTCAAATCAAACCGAATATCTCATTACAGTTTCAACCTACAAAGTACAATAAAACCCAGCAAATTCACTGGATAACATATCATCGCAAGATCATCCAACAACTCTAAAGTAATGACAAAAGGAAAAACAAAAAGGTCTGCTCTTATATGTATGCCACTGTCAACCAACAGATGCATGATACATATTCTGCGTATACCCACAATTTTGATTTTACATCTTAATCAACCCCATACCTGTATTGAAAAATTAAAAACAAAAAGAAACCCCAAAGCTCAAACCTTTCATGAATTCTTCTTTGCAACTCGTCTCTATATCAAGTTCTTTCATCAAACAAGGTGAAACAAATTAGCCCTACTCGTATCTTCTTTCCATCTAAAAACTGAAAATATTTCACTAAGGAGTATGTAGAAATCCGGTCATTGAGCCACTCCGCTGTACGAATTTCCTACAAATTATCTTCTTTTTTTCACATTATGGAACCGTCCTCCTATGCGGCAATTCCTGCAGAAGAATGATGATAAAGAGATGAGTACCACAAGGAAAATGAGGTATTGAGTACGAGATTTAAGAAATGGGATGTAGCCGATACAGCCTCGTGAACTATATGTGTCGTTTTGGGTCTAGATTTAGTCTGGTCATATATTCTTATTGTAATTTCTATAGTTGAAAGTGCAATGTAGATTGAAATGCTTTCAGCTAGTATACATTCCCTGCATCTGTTGATGAGTGTTCTAATATCTTAGACATGCAGAGCTGTTAATAAGTAGAAGCAAACATCGAGGCCATCCGAGGAAAAACAAATGGGTAATAACAAAACAGTAAAATGGAAAAGAAATCGTCCTACCCCTATCTGACTGCATATTGGTAACACCATAGCCGCCAATGTAACCAGCAGAGCTATTAGTCCTAACATCTGAAGTTGTGTTTTTCAGCCCAAAACCGAAGGAACTAGACCGCTCTAGGTCTAGGGGTGAAGGCAGCCAAGTGGAATCCCCATAAAGTGATCCATTTTCATCGGTATCAGCATAAGCCCTGTTATAACCACCATTTGAAGCACCTTGGGATGATACATGTGCAAAACCGGCCCCGTTGTTTCTCTCGTAGCCTATCCCTACTGATCCAACCCCAAAATCTCCATTTCTGTATCTGAGATTGCCGCTATTATAAGAAAAAGCTGCACCACCTTGATCTGAAGAAGGAGAGGAATCCCAAAGTGGTCCACTGTTGCCGAAAGAATGCACCCCTAAATTCGCACTTCCAGAACCCATGATAGAATTAGAGTTTGTGGAGTTAGCAGCATAGTTAAGACTGCCATTTCCCCACATATTTCGACCTGCTACATTTGAGATAGAGCTATTTCCTCCACTGCCCCCACCATACCCGAGTAGGCTAGCAAGCCTGTCTGGCTTAAATGAAGTGTTCAACCCCCGTCCGTAACTGAGGTTAGAACTAAGGTTTGAGCTTCCTCCATAACCTGGACTAAAATTCGGCTCAAAATTAAGTCCCATCCCGTAACCAGGGCCCAGCGGAGGAAATCCACCCCGACCAACAGTAACTGGGCTAAATCTACCTTCCGCTCTAATACCGTAACCTCCAACTGAACTAGCATTATAATTCTGCATGTAACCATTAAGGAAGCTATTGACTCTACTCAGACCAAAGTTATATCCTCCTAACTGGTTCTGACTTGGCCCCGGAGATGATTCTTTGGGGACAGCCCGTTTGACCTCAACCATTTTTCCATTGAGTTCATGAAATGTTCGTTGCAAGACCTTATCCACAACTTCCTCTGAATCATAAGTTATGAATCCAAAACCTCGTGGCCTCTGAGTATTGTGATCATACATCACAACAACATCTGTAATTGTACCAAACTGCTCAAAGTACCTCTTAAAGTCACCCTCGGTAACTGTGGATGCTAACCCTCCAACAAATATCTTTTTTGTTCGAGCAGGACAGGGTGATCCATGAATGCTAGCATTGCTTTTGTTTAGAACATTCCGGTCATCCCTAGGAACTGCCTTCTTTGCCTCAACCTGAAAGAGAAAATCCGAGTTCTTCAAGTGCACAAACTCTTTGAATCATAATGTAAAAAGTTGTTAACTTTTCCAAATTTTGTGCAAGCAACTTAGAAAAACAATGTAAAAATATACTCTTCCGCATGATATAAATTGTAATTTTGAAACACTATATGTTCATGATTTGCCAAGTCTCTTGGATGGTAAATTATCATCGATGGTGTTTCAGAATTAGCGAATGTGCCTTCTGAATGCAATTGTAATGGGAATTTGCCTTATTTCTAGGCATCAATCAGTTCCTTCTAAGATAAGCACTGGTCCTCATTTTTATCTATTCGAAAACCAAAAGTGATATCCTACTGATGATTAAAACTACAAAATGAAGCATTCGACACTGACAATGTTCGGGACTCTACATATTTTACTAGATCAGCTCTTACTCAATTGCAACATGTTGCCAAGCGAAACTCGCAGTGAGCAATATATATGTTCATCTAACAGCACCAGGACAGGAAACTTGCCAATTCTAAATCCTTGAATTGTATGTTACATATAATTCATGACATGAAATAAAAATCAATCCAAGAGTATCCTTCATATTTTTGAATTCATCATGTTATAAGAGAGTTGAAAACAAGGAACTTACAGCTCTACCATCTATCATATGCTTTTCCATTACAACTCTTTCTGCTATAGTCGGGTCCGCGAAAACAACAAACCCGAAGCCCCGGGCACGACCGGTAGCCCGATCCTTCATTATAACAGCTTCGACAACATCCCCAAAAGTCTGAAAATATTCTCTAAGACGTTCCTCATTTGTGTCCCAAGAAATCCCACCAATGAATAGCTTGCCAAGTTCCATTTCCATCCTAAAACACAAAATAAAAAAATCAAGCCTTTTTCATAGATCAAATTAAATCATATTCAACTAGAGAAGACAGGAAACATCGGATCTACAAACAAGGTATAATAGAGACATCGATTCCTTAAACTTCAAGGCAATTCAGGATTGAATATTATGTCTTGAAGAACAATCCAACATAAAACATGGTAATGCAGATTAAACAAAAGAAAACTATACCTTGTCTGAATACCGAAAATCAAACAAAGCCTTGTATTCCTTTTTTATATATATCAATATATAAAGAGAGATCGGGTGCTGCTGGATTCAATCGAAGCGCATGAGACCAATTACAGATTCGATCATCAACCGACCAACAATCCAGGATTCCTAAAAGACCCAAAGCCAGAAAAAGGATTCAACTTTCATGAGAAATGAGAATAAACAGCAATACCCAGAAATGATAAACAGCAAAAAATGAAGAAAAAAGAATCAACCTTTGCTGGTTATGGTTTTTTATTTAGTTTTTAAAGAAACAATAATATTGAAGAAGGAAAAAAACCCAGATGGAGAAAAGTAAGAGAATCTAAGATCTGAGAAGAAGCATAATAAGAAGAGAGAGGGGCTTATAGGCCCTTCTTTCTCTCTCTCTCTCTCTCTTTTTCTTTGTTTCTTTGTTGCAGCTAATGTTCTTTGGTATCAATGGGGTAGGATTATATATACACACACGCGTGAATGAAAGGAGTCTGAATCGAACAGGGAGGCAAAGATGTGAGAGTGAAATCGATTTGGATGAAAATAGATTATATTTTTTTTGTATTTTTTATATTTTTAAATTTATAGAGAAAGAGAAAAGTTCGGGCATCCATGTAATAAACTAACATGGGAGCTCATGAACATGGAGACTTGCTAAATTTGTGTTTTGTTTTCAAATTCTTTTGTATTGTATTTAGTAATTTTCAAAATAAAAAACTACTATTTCATATATTTATTTATGTTTTTGTTAAATATGTTTAATATATATATGATGGTCAATTTTCTAACGTGATGTAATTGAAAAAGATTATTTATTTATATAAAGGGTTTAATTTTTTTTTTCCATCTAAGGTCATTGCTATAGTACACCATGAAAGACGCTCGAATTATCTGACGATTTCTGAAAGATGTCAGGATTATACGATAACTTTTGGAAGATATCGTTCGATCTACATGGTCATTAATTTACGGACGCACCTTCATCTTGAGAGAAGACACTAAATTTTTCATACGTCTTCATAAAAATATCGAATGTCCATTTAACTTCTCTACAACACTATAAAAATTACCTTATTTGAAAAAATAAATTAGAGTGAACATTAAAACTTATAAGATATTATTAATTTATTTTCCTCAAAACAAAATTTCAGTGATTTTGCCTATGTATACGATTATTTTAATTATTTATGTATTATTAGTTATATCAAAATTATGTGTTGTGTGCTTTATTTTTTCTATTTTTAATTATATTATTTTTTAAGTTACTTTTTTTTATATTTATATTTCCATCATCGGTGAAGACAAATTTGTCTTCAAATTTTAGGAGTAAAGAATTGGGTGGTCCATTTATTTAATTTTAGGAGTAAATACGTTGAGAATTAAGACTCTGAACTTTCATATGTCAAACTGAGTCCTAAGATCTTAAGTTGTCTAAAAGGGAACGAGCTAGAAGCTCAGTGTGGTCCAAAAACTCTACAATAAACAGAACACAACAATGTATAAAATATACAACAGAAATAGTGGATGCAATATATACATTAGCAAGGTGATAGAAATAATTAAATCTAAATGACACAACAATCAAGACAAGATAACTTATGACAAAATAACAGGACATGATATACATATAAAAATGCATAACGCAATATGCACGGACAATGCGACTACTAAGCCCACTAATATATGGATTATAACTTATACATAATATATGGATTAATTACATACTTTGATCCTTTTCTTTATTGGGAAATACAATGTAGCAGTACTTTTGTTGATCAGATTGAGAGCCAAATAAAGGGAACAGTAATAGTATTAGAATGAATGTTGAAGGTAAATTGTAATTAATATGATGATACAATTAAGTGAAAATTCAAAAAGTGCCCTTGACTTGCCTCTCTTCATAACTTCCAGCTAAGACTTTGCTTTAGGTTTAGGGTAGTCCGAAAGTTGTTTTATTGGACTACTGCCAGCTACCATTTGCCACCCATTATCATCTTAAAAAATGTTTTTTTAAATAATATGGATAATTATGTGATAATATCTGTTCAGAATTTTCTTAATAAATATCATCGTGTATATATATATATGTATCTTATAAACAAAACTGTTCGAACCATAGACCTTTAACGAGAATAACACTCATTTCTAGAAAATGAATATTATTTCATATGGTTAGAAGGATTTCTATAAAATTTGAAGTCAATTGGAGTTAGATTATACTTTTGGTATTTTTTTTGTTAGTAATATGTTGTTTTATTTAGGGTTAATTACATCACATGTTCTTAAACTATAACTATTATTTTAAATTGATCTTTAACTTTTTAAATATTTCAATTTCATCCTTAAACTATGACTCTTATTTTAAATTAATCCTTAAAGAATAGCGGCATGATGAGATTCAGTCGTCATCACGGTTGAAACAAAAGCGCCCATGTTTTGGCGGGTAGAATCAGGATACCTGTTTTGATTTTGGCTTACCATTAGGCAGTCTCCATATTGCAGTGTGGCAGGTTCTTCTTTAAACTTAATATTGCATGTCTATTTCCCATAACCAATCAAACGGCAGCGAAAACAGATTTTTGGGAGCCTTTCGTACTTCAATGCCCCACACGAAGTGAACCGGCAGTTTTCTGTCCAAGATTGATGATTCGTTTAATCGGTACTGTGGCGTCAAGCTCAACCCAGATTTGGAATTAAGCGCCCATATTTCCATTCTTATCTCTGAGGTCAACAGCAAGCACTTTGCTAATAACATTTCCCATGCTTTCTCCTGCATCTTTGTTCATGCATCCCACCGGGACTCCATTCACTCTTATCCATATATCAATAGTGTATTTAAATATCCCACTAAAAGGCAAAAGCAGCTCCAGGAGATTATTGCTAGGTTGGTGGAAGAACCGGTTAGCGTTGACAGTGTGGATCGCCTGACTGGTGATAGACGCGACCTTAAAGACCTGCTGAACAAGGAAGTAGTGTTATGGATGCAAAAGTCACGAATAGCGTGGTTGGAGAATGGAGATAGGAACACCAGATACTTCCATGAGAGAGCTTCTCGTCGCAGGAAAAAGAACTGGATCCGGGGAATTATGAATTCGGCAGGGGTTTGGAAAAAATAGCTTGGATGACATTTTTGAGGTAGCCACTTACTTCTTTACCGGACTGTTCACATTGACAAGAAATGGAAATTCGAATCGAATTTTGAACTCCATCGAGAAGTGTATTACACCGGAAGCAAATTCAGAGCTGTGTAGTGAGTTCACCGTCCAAGAGATCTATGCTGCCTTCCAAAAAATCAATCCTCAAAAACCCCCTGGCATCGATGGTCTTCCTGGCAGTTTCTTCTGCTTTTATTGGCATATTTTAGGTGATAAAGTTGTTTCCTTACGCCTTATTTGTTGAATGGGTTGGCAAATTTTGAGAAGGTCAATCGTACTGTCATTGTACTTATCCCTAAAGTTGATACTCCTACTTTTATGAAAAATTATAGACCCATCAGTTAATGTACAGTTATTTATAAGGTTGTCATATGTTATTGTTAATCGCCTTAAGCCCTTAATGCCTCTTTGCATAACGGAAAATCAATGTGCCTTTGTGCCAGGGAAACTTATTTTCGATAACTTCATTGTTGCCCTCGAATTGTTCCATTACCTAAAGGGAGCAAGGAACGGACAAAACAAAGGGGCAGCCATCAAGCTTGATATGGAGAAGGCTTGTGACAGAGTGGAATGGAGCTTTCTTTACGATGTTATGTGCCGACTTGGGTTTGATCTACGTTTCATTAATCTTATTATGAAATGTATTTCAACTGTTTAATACTTCTTATGCATCAATGGCCAAGTTCCAGGTTTTTTCCGACCGGAGCGGGGACTTCGACAAGGGGGTCCTCTCTCTCCATACCTTATCATATTCTGCACTCAAGGTCTCTCAGCGATCCTTCTCTCGGAACAACGAAAGGGAAACATTAGTGGAGTAAGAACTAGTGTGCGTGGACCTCGAATTAACCATCTCTTGTATGCGGATGACTGCCTGCTCTTTATCAAGAATTCCGAACAAGAGGCTAGAACACTACTCTCGGTTCTTAATGAATATGAGGCGGCTTCGGGTCAAAAAGTCAACCTCGACAAGTCGCTGATTTATTTCAGCTCGAAAACTCCCAGGGAAGCAAGACAGTCTATCGCATCATTTCTGGAAATTCAGGAGGGCACCGAACTTGGAATGTATCTCGGGCTGCCGCTGCTTGTGGGGAAAAACAAAACAAATGTTTTCGGTTTCCCTGGATACAATCTCCAAGCGTATGGGGGTGGGGGGTGGGGGGTGGGACAAAGAATCTACTTTCCACAGGTGGCCGTGAAGTCTTCTTGAAGGCAGTGGCACAAGCTCTTCCAACCTATGCCATGTCGTGCTTCTTAATCCCGGAAAGTATCATCGATTCAGTTACCTCAGAGATGAGGCGTTTCTGGTGGACGCGGAAGAACAAAAAGGGATGGGCCCATTTCGCTTGGAACAAAGTCTGTCGCCCTAAGAGAGGAGGGGGGCTTGGCCTCCGGGACCTAACGCTCTTCAACTATGCTCTGCAGGGGAAACAAGTGTGGCGCCTGATCCATAATAAGAACTTCCTAGTGACCCAAGTGGTGGCTTCCAAATATTTCCCTTCAGGTGATCTGCTTGAGGCCAAGATTGGGAACAATCCATCCTTTATATGGAATTGCATCCTCAAAACTAAAGAAAAGTTGAAGAGAGGCTTCCACTGGAGAATTGGTCTGAATAGCCCTACACCAATGCATGCGGCTCGATGGGGTGGGGACACTCCTATCACCTTCTCTGCCTAATATGCTGATGGACAGGAGGAACCAATTCGATGCAAGGACTTTATGATCCCAAATGAACCAAGGTGGGATGAAGCAAAGATAAACAGGGTATTTTGGGAGATTGATAGCTCCATTATTCTTGGCTGTCCTATTACCCCGGTGTCCGGTGACTGTCTGGTTTGGAGTCACTAGCTCGAAAGTTTATAACACCAAATCGGGCTACACTTGGCTACTAAAAGAGCTCCAGGAAAGCAGGGATAACTCAAAGATTTGGAATAGTCTAGCAATTGTCAAAACGCTCCCAAAGGTAAGTCTTCGGCTGGAAGGTGTGCCATGAAGCTTTGTCGGTAAGTGCAAAATTACGATCGATCGGGATTGGAAATGGAACTTGCCCTCTTTGTAATACGGAGCAAGAATCCATCTTCCACGCGCTAAAAGACTGTCACTTTGCCTGAGAGGTCTTCCAGCTATCCAACCTTGACCCCCGTTGCTTCGATGGTGAGTTTTGCTGCTTCGATCCTCCCCATTGACAGGTTTGTCAAATTCCTGCTGTTGGTATGGAACCTATGGAACCGGAGAAATAAGTGGACCCATGATGATGTTCTTCAACCTGCAAGAACAGTGATCGATTCCGGCTGGCTCATTGGTGGAGAGTTCCTCGCTGTTGCAAACTCCCCTGACCGGCCTCCCCCACTCAACCTGTTCCAACAGTTAAGAGGAGGAGGAAACCCCCATTAATTCCATCAAATTCAATGTTGATGGAGCCTTCCTTCCGGACTCGAATGTTGCTGCCTTTGGTGTTTTAGCGAGAGATCATAATGGGATGCTGGTTGGAGGCCTTGCCAGACGCCTCTCCGGGTCGTACAATGCAGAGCTCATGGAGGCTTTGGCGCTGATTGCTGGATTGAAATGGTCCGCGAGAATGGATGGACTCAAGTTATTTTTTAGAGTGATTCATATGCAGTGGTCAACAAAATCCTTTCTCCCCATTTAGACCTGTCTGTTTCTGGCTGTCATATCCACCATGCTCGTAATATTCTGAAAGAGGAAGCCAACTTCTTGGTTAGTTACAC